ATTATTGGCATATATCACTGTACCTAGAAATCCTGGTGATTTGTGTAGACACACTTCTATGTGTTTCGTGTGTATTTTTTCATTTAATACTTAAAATATCCTATGGAAAAAATACTGTTGTCCCCATATTAAAGTGAGGGAGCATAAAATTCCTATTATTTCACAAGGTTCCTCCTTTATTGTGTTGCAGAGTTGGATTCAACCCAGGACACATTCTTTAACCACTCAACTGGAAAGTGAAACCATTATGCTGAGCAGGGGAGGGAAGAAGAATCAAATAAATGAGTGTGCTGAAGAGCTTCATATCCCACACAGCACTCTGCAGAAGATTTTGTTTTCATATCTTCTGAACTGTGACCGGACCCAGGAGGAGGTCTGAGACTCACAGAAGGGAGCAGTGATCTGCTACTGATGTTGGTCAACTCTGATGACATTCCCATCAGCCTTTACCTTTGAACTGGATGTTTAGATGCCTCTAGTCCTCTTAGACTCATAAGGGGTGGGATATCTAGTTGGGATCCACCTTCTTGGCATCCTGAACAAAGAATTGAGCAAGACCCAGGTGGAGCATAGATTTACTGAAAATAAAAGTGAAAGTATCAATACGTAGAAGAGAGTCACTCAAGGCCCTACGTCTGGTGGAGTGTTGTCTTGTGTGCAGTGCTATACCTCCTTCCCCTCTCCCTACTAAAGACCTTGCTTCATTTGTTCCCATTGGTTATTTTATTTTCAGCTAATGAGAATACAAACCTGTGGTGGGACTTACCACAGGCTTTAACCCTTCAGTAGCAGGAGTTGTCAAAATAACGGAACTTATCCTAAGCAAGGAACTGATGACTCATCYCCTGGTCTTGTATTTCAGTCAGCATTTTTCTTGTATCCTGTCTCCCCAATCTAGATGCCCCTGAACTCCTACCTCAAGACTCCTTGGATTGAGGAACAAGTTGGGAGGGCAGAAGTGTTCTGTGGACCGGGGTCCAGCAGGGGGAGCTTGTGTCCACTTAATGCTTTGAATATAACCCTTGCCCCTAGACCACTGGGACTTATTTTTAAAATGGACATGTTTCTTTCTTTTCCTCTCTCCTTGCTCCTCCCTAATCTCTCCCCCTCTCTAATTTCAGGGAAACAGGATTAACTTTCTTCCCCATCCCAGGCAGATTTATCTGTCCCTGTGAACACACCCACCACAGGAATGAGGTAATCCAGACTTTGGGATGGTAGCAGAGGACCTCAGAAATGAGTATCACCCAACTTAACAAGTGAATCACAACTTCATCCTTTTTTTTTTTTTTTTTTTTTTTTAAGAGAGAGAGAATTTTATTGATTTTTTAGCTTTTTCGGCGGACACAACATCTTTGTATGTGGTGCTGAGGATCGAACCGGGGCCGCACGCATGCCAGGTGAGCGCGCTACCACTTGAGCCACATCTCCAGCCCCTTGAGTCATCTCTTTAAAAGCTCCCTGTTCCTGCTGATGGCAGAATCACAGCCTGTGGGACAGGAGTCCACCGTGTTTCTCTTTTGCTAACAGAACAATAAACTTTCTTTTTCCTTTTTCTCAAAACTATGTTCTTGTTATTGGATTGGCTGGGTGACAAGGACTGAGTTTCAGCAACAATATGTCCTAACAGCCACAACCATCCTGGAGGAGGAACAGTGGCTTCTTTCAGGGGTGCCCCACACAATTTTGTGAACTTACACATTTTTTTAAAAATATTTATTTTTTTTAGGTGTAGATGGACACAACGCCTTTATTTTTTTTAAAGAGAGAATTTTTTATTATTTATTTTTTATTTTATTTTTTAGAGAGAGAGAGAGAGAGAGAGAGAATTTTAATATTTATTTTTTAGTTTTTCGGCGGACACAATATCCTTGTTTGTATGTGGTGCTGAGGGCCGCACGCATGCCAGGTGAGCGCGCTACCGCTTGAGCCACATCCCCAGCCCCACAACTTTTGTTTTCATAAATCCTGTTATTCTTTCATTATGAAAGGATGCATTTAACCAAAACAAAACTGTCCTCCTTCAGTTCTTCTCTCAGGCATGTGGCATCCTGGAGGACGTTCAGCCATAGTTTATGACAGGTTGAAATGATATACGTGGGATTAGGATTGTGGCTCAGTGGTAGAGCGCTTGCCTCCCATGGGTGAGGCATTAGGTTCAATCCTCAGCACCACATAAAAAGTATATAATTCGGGCTGGGGATGTGGCTCAAGCGGTAGCCTGCTTGCCTGGCATGTGTGCAGCCCTGGGTTCCTCAGCACCACGTACAAATAAAGATGTTGTGTCTGCCGAAAACTAAAAAATAAATATTAAAAAAATTCTCTCTCTCAAAAAAAAAGTAAATAAATCAAATAAAGTTATTGTCTACAAAAAAAATAAAAAAGGATATACAAGGGGCTGTGGTCTTGGAGATTCAGGGCTCATTAACCCACTGGGTTTCACTTAGTTTACCTTAACTCCTCAGGAAAATTTTAATAGACACCTTCACGCTATTCCCAACACCAGCATCCCCCAGTCCCTCAAACCACTCCACCTGCTCCTGTTGACATTTCCCCTTACTCATGCATAAGAAGTGGGAGCTCTTAGGGGAAATCCCTCTCCTGGTACCTGGACCTGGAGTACCTCCCTTTCCTACTCCCACCAGGTGCCTGCAGGACGGGGACAATGCCTTCTGCTTCCTATACCCTTCTGCTAGTCTGGATGTCAAATGTTGCCCAAGGCCCATGTTAAAGGTTTGGTCCCTAGGACAGTATTATTGGGAGATGGTGGAACCTAAAGGAAGTGGGGTCTAGCAAGAGGTTCTTAGGTCATTGGGGGTAGGCTGTCAAAAGGGACCCTGGGACTCTGACCCCTTCTTTGTTCTTTTCTTTCCTGGCTAAGGAGGTGACAGTGACACCTGTAGTCACAGCTACTCAAAARGGCTGAGGCAAGAGGACCAAGAAGTTGAGCCCAGGATCCAAGGCCAGCCCAGGCAACATCATCTCAAAAAGTAAATAAACTAATAAAGATAAGTTTTAAAAAGTTTTAATAAGGAAAACAGGATGGATGAGACCCCAATATGTTAAATCTAGGCACCGAAGACCTTGGACAGGCCCATGTCCTTAGTATACAGAAAGGGCAGACAAGTGTCCCAGGTGATAAGCACAGTTCTTGTCACCCTGTGTCAGCCCCAATGTGGCCCCATGCATCCTTTGTCCTGAGGATGTAGATAAAAGCGGCAGCTGCTCTGCAGGTGGATGGGGAAGCCACTGCTGCCAGCCAGATACACCTGCCCAAGTCTGACTTGAAGCCAGTACTATACTCCTCAGAACCTCACAGCAGGACCACCAAGCCACTCGGATTCAGGACACGCAGATCACAGTGGCAGGCATGGGTTTATTACGAGGGACAGGAAAAGGGAAAAGGGGATACTCTGAAGGGAGACAGTGGGTACTTTCAGACAGAAGGATGGCACACCCTTGTGCCCTTTAATTTTATTGGGGGTTCCAGAGAAGTTTCCAGAGTCTGCCCAGGACTACCTTTTGACTGACAACAGGATGACATCAGAGTCATCAAAGTCTCCACTGCTATGACAACTCTAGGTTACTTTGGCCCATGCTGACTGGTTCTAATTGGAATCCGTTCTTACAAATTTTATGGTTAGTAGGGGCTGAGTTCTGGGATCTCATTCGTGTAAGTGTAACAGATGAGATTACCAGGGTAACTGTGTTTTTCTTATTTGGGTCTGCATTTCTCCTGCACATAAGAATCTGCTTGCTGAGAAATATAATTTAAGGCAGGCAGGGCTGCAGGGACCCAGCAGTGGCTACAGGCTGAAAAGCAGGCAAGGTGTCTGAAGCCTGGAAGCAAAGGAACTGGAGACCCAAGCAGACCAAAGCTGCAGCTCAGCTGAGGGAGGAGTAAAGGCCAAGGGAGTTGAGGTACTGCACTCATGGCAGCTGCTGGCTGAGGTAGAGTCCCAGGAGATGGCCATCCACCAGACCTACTTTTCAGGAGAAGCCTTTGGCTGCCCCATCCCTGTCAGAAATGCCCTGGGCCTGCTTTGGTCTGTGGCCTCCTTCACCCCGTCAACTCCAGAGGGTCTCTTGCACAGGTCTCTAGACTCCCCTAACTTCAGCAGGTGGCCACATGGCACTCCTCCCTCAGCCATTCTTGTGCCTCCCTTCCACCCCAGTCCTGATTACAACCCTCTCCCACACACTGGGACTGCGGCCCTCACTTCCTTCCCTCCCTCCATGGGCTCCCCATCATGGCTTCCTCTGCTGACACTACTCATTCGTGGGGGGAGGCACTACTTGAGGACTCCCCTCTCTCACCACAGCATGCACCCTACTGGGCTCCCCTCTGCTGTACCCTGCCTCGTTTCTCTCTCCTTGTGGTCCACCTTCCTTTCCCCACTCTCCCCACCCCGTGCCACTTGGCCCCCTCCACACCCTGGGACCCCCTGCCCACAGCCTGATCCTCATCTCCGGCGGGGCTTGGAGGACATTCTGTCCCCGAGGCCCGCGGCTCGCGTCGACGCCCACAGCCGCCCTCTAGCTCCCTCCAGGCAGGGCCAGGGTCCCCCGGCTCCTCTCCCGTTGCCTCAAGGATCCGGCTGGGCCCAAGTCCCTGYGGCCAGCAGCGCCCGTGCTAGCGGGCGGCGGGCATTCGCTACCGGCTGGTCAAACCCCGTTTTCTCGGTCCCTAAGCACCACGTCCCCAAGGCAGAGCATTCGCTACTCGGCGACCCGGCGCCCTGCCTCAGCGGGAGCCCTCTCCGGTCGAGCGCAGAGCGCCTGCCCCGCGGCTCGTCGTTACGTGTGGCCCTAGACAAACTCCTCCACGTCTCCCAGAGCCTACTCAGGGCGTGGCGCGACCTCCACCCCGCCCGCAGACTCCCGCGCGGGCCAGGCCGCAGCCCACTCCCCTGTGCGCTTGCGCGGAGGCTCAGCGGCGGCGCGCTAGGGCGACTACACATCCCGGCGTGCTCTGCGCCCGGAAGAGGGCCCTGCTTTGGCCCCGCCCCGGAAGATAAGGCGACTCGCGGGTGCCGCATTTCCTCTTTTGGCCGCGCTCGGTAGCAGGTAGGTCTGTCTGAGGCGCTGAGGGCTTGGGACCATCCACCGCCATCCGCCGCGTTGGGGCCCGCCGTGGTACCTGGGAGACTGTTCTGAGAAGGCGCAGGCGCGCGCGACCAGGGATGAGAACACGGGAGGCTGGGATGGGGCGGGACGCGGGGCCAGCGCCTGCCTTGCCAGCCACACGCTGACCTGATTCCCCCCTAGACCAGCCGTCATGGGCCGAGTGATCCGTGGACAGAGAAAGGGTGCCGGCTCCGTGTTCCGCGCGCACGTGAAACACCGCAAGGGCGCCGCACGTTTGCGCGCAGTGGACTTCGCAGAGCGACACGGTTACATCAAAGGCATCGTGAAGGTGGGGCCGTCTGCCCGGTGGGTGGGGGAGACGGGGCGTCTGCCGAGACCCGCGCTCACCTCACCTCGGCACGCAGGACATTATCCACGACCCGGGCCGCGGCGCGCCCCTCGCCAAGGTCGTCTTCCGGGATCCCTACCGGTTTAAAAAGCGGACGGAGCTGTTCATCGCCGCCGAGGGCATCCACACAGGCCAGTTCGTGTACTGCGGAAAGAAGGGTGAGCCTAGCGGCGGGAAGGAAAGTTGGGGCGGAGGGGGGCTACCTCTGGATCACCTAGCCTGCGGTCTGGTAGGGGTCGCCCGCCTGGATACGGTGTTCCACGAGGTGTCTGGAAAGGTGGGAGCCCAGATGTTGAATGTGCTCTACGCTTTGGGCCTTTCCAAGAAGCCTGGCTTTGCATGGTCTCTGTCCGTACTGACCCTGGTTCCGCTTCTCCTGGCAGCCCAGCTCAATATTGGCAATGTTCTCCCTGTGGGAACCATGCCTGAGGGTACGATTGTGTGTTGCCTGGAGGAGAAGCCTGGGGACCGGGGCAAGCTGGCCCGAGCCTCCGGTAACTATGCCACGGTCATCTCTCACAATCCTGAGACCAAGAAGACTCGTGTGAAGCTGCCCTCTGGCTCCAAAAAGGTCATTTCCTCGGCCAACAGAGCTGTTGTCGGTGAGTGCCTGGCAGCGGTTGAATGCAGAAGTGGGTGCTCAGGCTGTGAGCTGCTTATGAACTGCCACCTGTTAGCCTTGGGCTTCAGTTTGAGTATGAAATAATTGGAATCTTCATTGCTGTAAAGAGCAGGATGGTGGTACCTACTTCCCTACAGGTTTGGAGCAGATTGAGATTGAACCAGATGGTTCTCAACCTGTGTGTGTGTGTATGCTGGTTTAATCCAGGCTTCCTGATTTCTGATATTACTTCATTTAGTTAATTCACTTGGTTTCTTCAGAGAAAACAGGATCATATACAAGGATTTCTTTAAAGGCATCTACTGTTGAGAGGGAGAGAAAGAATTTGGTTCCAGGTTCTTTGTTTGGCAGCACCCTAGAATCTGGTAAACCCAGCCCTGGACAGAGTAGTTACTGAGGCTCACAGAACAAGCAGAGCTCTGGTGCAGTGCACTTGGTCAGTTAGTTGCCTTGGGGGAATTCAGAGGTTGGGTGACCTACCTTGTGTTTCAGATACAGTGAAGTGGGAGTGCTCTTAGGAACTTGAATTTGATTCACTAGGGTGGAGGCTGGTGGGCTCTGTGTGGTGGCTGTAAAAGTATGGTGGCTCTTGAGTGATGCATATGACAGTACTGAGTGGTTTGCATTGGGAAGGGTTCACTGTCAAGGACCCAATGGTGAGGAGGTTCTCTGACTGAGGATTCTGATCTCTCTAACAGGTGTGGTGGCTGGAGGTGGCAGAATTGACAAACCTATCTTGAAAGCTGGTCGTGCCTACCACAAGTATAAGGCAAAGAGGAACTGCTGGCCTCGTGTACGGGGTGTGGCCATGAATGTAAGTAGCCCAGCAATCAGTTTGTAGGGTATTCAAGGTGCATAACCATGCAGGTGGGTTAGCAAATCCCTTCCAGAGGTGTTTTCCTAACTCCTGTGTCAGGGGAATGAATCTTCAGTGGGGGAAGCACTGGGTGGTGGTTTGTAGCCACAGCATTCTTGATCTTGCCCCAACCCTTCTGCAGTGGGGTCATCACTACTCTTACACCATTTCCCTCTACCTGCAGCCTGTAGAACATCCCTTCGGAGGAGGTAACCACCAGCATATTGGCAAACCCTCCACCATCCGCCGAGATGCTCCTGCTGGCCGCAAAGTGGGTCTCATTGCTGCCCGCCGGACTGGGCGACTCCGTGGAACCAAGACCGTGCAGGAAAAAGAGAACTAGGCCTGAGGGGCTCAATAAAGTTTGTCCTTTTGCTGTTGGGCTGTGTGCATGTGGTTTCAGAGGGAGGGGTCCCTGCCATGGATCCCCTTGATTCAGTGAAGAGGAAGAAACTTTTACCCATGAGACCACTAGTGAGAGACATGGGAGCTTCATGGCTGGAGAGGAGGTACAGGTGTCCAGGGCCAGGAGCTTGATCCAAAAGGAGGGAATCAATATCATGACATTCTAGGGTGGGTGACTCAGTAGTCACCCTGTGGTGCTAAGACTCCATTTTACAAATGAGGAAACAGCTTAGAACCAAATTCTGAGCCTAGTGCTGTGGACCTTACCCTCAGTGTCTTGATGGACTCATAGTAGGTGTGCATAGTAGGTTCACCACTGGTTTTCCCAGTTCCTGGAAGCAGCCTTGTTCTCTAGAATTCAGCAACGTGTTCACCTTCAAATGGTGGTACACTCCTGTTTTCTGAATGTTCTTGTGAAGCTTTTCCTTGTGGGTTCCAACCTAATGGCTTCCTTACCTGAGTTGGTCTAGCCATCCTTGTGCTGGTTATCATGAGCAGGCAGCACCCTGCGCAAGTAGGATGGGTGGGGAGTGGTCACTGGAAGAGTGCAGGGTTATAAATTTCTTTACCTCTTGGCTGCACTGTAGTTTACCAACTGAGCTACAACCCCAGCCTGGGGCTGATGTTCTGACAAAACTGCTGACCCTGTTTTGAGCAGTGATGGGTATTTGAAGTGTTTTCCAATCTACTCTAGAGCTTGTCCAACTGCCTAAAACCCTAGACTGGACACAAGGAGTTGGCTTGTGGCCCTAACTACTCTGGTGCAAAGACGGGGGGGGGGGGGGGGG